AAAAGCTCAAGTCTGGGTGCCTGGCTGGCAATCGGTTGAGCATGATATTCTTGATCTCGGGATTATAAATTCAAGCCCCACATTGGGTATACAGATTACTTAAAAATTAAATTGGTTAAGCATCCGAATCTTGGTTTCGGCTCAGGTCATAGACTCACGGTTTTGTGAGTTTGAGTCCCACATCGGGATCTGTGCTGACAGCACGAAGCCTACTTGAGATTTTCTCTCTCCCCCTCCCTCTCTCTCTGCCCCTCCCGTGTTCACACTGTCTCTGTCTCTTCTCAAAAATAAATAAATAAACTTTGAAAATAAAATAAAATCTTAAAAAAAGAAAAAAGTTCAGTTCTACCAAAAGACAAACACTATAAACAGACTGAAGTTGTTACAGGGTTCTTAATTTTTGCCTCTAATATTTGTAATGTCCCTGTATCTATGGGCTCTCCTTGAGGAGTTTCGTCTATTATGCCAGGGCTCATGAAAGAGTATTTTATAAAATAATGAAGGAAGTGGCAAAATGCAGAGTGCCTGATTACCTTCACTTGTCAACAGAAAAGAGTGTTTAACCACATTAGCTGAGATATTTGCTCCCTTTTCCCAAATCTCTGCCCCCTTTTATAAGCCAAGGGAAAAACTAAAGTAACCTAACTTCAAAAAGTGCCTTTTCTCCACTACTTATCATTCATAGAAATGACCAAATGAGCTCTCTGCATGTGGTTTGTCCCGAAATGCAAGCCCACACTCTGGAGAAATAAACACTTCTAGGACGCAGTGAATGGTGATAACGCAGAGCAAGCAGGCACACTACCTCACGCTACTGCGATTCCTTCGTTTCCTACTAAAGCAAACATATCATGTGGAGTCTTGAGGAATGTATCAACCCACGCTTCCCAAGCTGCTGTGTTAATGAATAATAAGCACGGCAGCTTGGAAAAGGCTCTACAGATCCAGCAATCACATGCTCCAAAGTCTCTTCCCACTTTCTTTCTTTCATGAGCCAGTATTTCTTATAGTAGACGCTGGGGAGGCTTCATGTCCAAAACCTCAGATCCGGAAGCAAGCAAAGTAAATTAAGTGACAGCGTTAGGGACAAAGTTCCCCAAAACTCTGGAAGAACAAAAACCTATGTAATGAGTCCACAATAGTCACAAACACTGAGATACATGGTTTACAGACCTTCTTCTCTGTTAGTCATTTCATTACTATTGCCTTGCTTCTCCGAGTCCCTGAGAGGTTAGGTGACTGGGCATAAGTCACACAGATGGGAAGTGGAGGAGCCAGCATT